ACGCGAAAGGAGAACTGGTTATAGAAAGACGATGACAGAAGAACAGCGAGTGACTCTCGTCTGGGCTCGAAGCCGGGACCACTCGGTTTCTAGTGTGATACTATATTGATTTAGCGAGCAACCCCGCCTCGTTTTATATTGATGCGCGTACGTTAGGATGGGGCTAACGAAACTACATAAGCATGTAGTGGTCATTCGCATTTGTCTCAGAATCTCAAGTGTCGCAGAAGGATGAAGAGAACAAAACTAGAATTATGGATAACTGTTAATCATTATTGTGGGTTTTAGTTTCAGTTTTTGATACCTTTAAGACTTGCTTTGTTGTGGTTTGGCGCATAAGGATGGGTAATAACTGCTTTGTTTCGAAGACAGGGTTATGAGAGAGAGAGAGAGTGCTTGTCTAATGAAGGACAGACTAACTGCTGAATTAATGGAAATATGAAATTTGTTGAAGTAGATTATCATAAACCACCAGATTCGGACCTTCTGGATATAAACGATTTATGTTTCTTGGCGCAGAGTCGTGTCTACAGAGACATTCGGCACTGATGGTTCACCATTTGCGTCGAAGCGTCTTGCGGGATCATCAGATGTACAAACGATGACAAGTTGAGTGCTGCATCTGCACACAAATTCGTTATCTGTGGCCGAAGCAAAATTTACGTGTTCTGACCGCGGTAATGCTTATTAACCCGACCGATTAATTTATTCACCCTTCGTACCTTCAAGCTAAGTCAGCTAGTGCTGGCTGGGGGTGCTGGAAGGAGGACACGGGGACCACATATTGTTCTTACTGCGCAGCGACGTTTTAATGACGTATAATCACATGTATGTTTCAGGTGCATTTAAATACTTCGAATGGCATAACCGGGTAGATCGTAAACTCAGAAGCCACGCTTTCTTCGAAGTGTCAGGGCGTTCAGCTGTGGAGATATCTATGGTCTGAGAAAATTTGCGGCACCGATGAGAATCAAACGAATGATTTCTACCTATCTGGCTAGGTGCTGGTAGTATTGTTTTCATGAATATGCCCTTCGATGTCATCGAAATGAACCTCAGCATCACACCGTTCATTCCATATGCTGAACAAGAAATATGTTGATTAGAAAGACATCATTTACGAGAAATCAGAGGACGGTAAGTTTAAGAAGGTGATTAGTGGAGTTTGCTGAAAAGGGATGCAAGATTGTGGCGGCCGGATCGTTTTACTGTTCAGGATTGCGCCATCGTTATCTCAGAGGGTCATTCAAAGGTCATGTGATATACGTGAAAACGTTTCTGACACGGATTACGCCAGTGTAAGTTTATTACAGGGGCATTGCATATGGCACCTTTCTTCATGATCCTTTCAAGATGGCGCAATCTTCGTTTTGGTGTCGTCAACGGAAGTGCCTTGTTTTTCATTACGACAGCTCTTTCTACTCTCCTCGCAGCGATGACATGCTCGTCGCCTGCCTCCTTCGTACGTACGTGTTATGCATCTGTTTTTCCCACAATCACATGGATGAAATCAAAATATAGGTCTCAGGTAATGGATGAAAATTTAGTGGCGGAGTTGAGACGCGTAATTAGCGTGGATTTTATGCTAAAATAAATGAACTGTCAATCGCATTAGGATAATTGTAATATTAGTGTTGAAATTTCATGACTCGTTTGATTTTTGACATTTTTCTGACCTGTTCCTTTTAACAGGGTCCCGCTTTTGGAGTTACATGCCTCCAAAAGTTTCTTGCCTTTGGTCAGATCGTCGATCATTCTTCACTGTTTTACGTCGTTCTGTACTACATCGTACCACCTTTCTCCACAATTTCTTTGGTCATCTTTTCTTCGCTTGCAATATCAGTATTGATTGGGCCACATTTCCAATGATGGGTCTTTTTTTCACGTGACCGAATCATCGTTGGCCTGCTGTTAATAAACCCTTCTGAAATTGGTGCATCCCTTAGGGTTCCTTTTATGGAGCTGTTTCGGATGTGGTCTTTTCTGCTGACACCACGCATCCATGTGAGCATTCGCATTTCTACATAGTTCAGCTTTTGCTCGTGTCTGTTCGGGATAATGAAACATTCTGCTCCTTAAAGAATTACCAATCTTGCTGCCGTTCTCTACTCCTTTCTTTTCTTTTTGTTTTGCATCGTATTGTCGACAGTACTCCGCTCACTTCTCTCCGTTTGAGCCAGTTTTTTTTATTGTACAGATTTTTTAATTCACTCTCGATTTTTAAGATACTTTCTAAGATAATTTTTGGGTTTGAGGCAGCAAACTGCCGTTACTTTCATTCATTTGTTGGGTTTCTTTCTGTTCCCTCTGCTGAGATAACTCATCACGTGTTCTGACTTGCGTTTACTGAGCCGAATGTAGTTTTCTGCCAGAGCTGGATTCCACATCGTAATTTGATGACATGTTTAACTAATGAATAACATGAAGCATTACGGTATTACTGCAGCTTTTTTACCTAAATGAACGCGTTTTGTTATAACAGTGTATTATGTAGCGAAAAAGTTGAACCGTTCATCAACGGTCTTTGCGAATGTGAAAATTCTGTTCGATGCCACTGCTTGTACTGCAGCGAGCTGTAACACATGCGAATGACGAATTGCTTCGTTCACCAACAGCCGTGTATGTCCAGTCTCGGATAATCTGGATCCTTGTTTCGGTTCGTAAAGTGAGTGATGCGAGTTAAGTTTTTCGTTTTGCTTTACCGATTTTGGAATTTCGCCGATATCGTTTGGCTCGATCGAACAGATGCACAGTCATCGACAGTTTTTCTTCGGTCTGCGGTCTACAGTTCAGTGCCGCGACTGGATATTTTGAGGACTGCAAGTCAGACAGTGCAACTGTATTAGTAACAGCTATGTGAAAAGCCGGTTTCAAATTTAAATTTCGCCGTACTCGCGAGTTCAGAACTTTTTCCACATTCAGCAGTTGTTTGCACACACAGAACCTGGAGGGGGCTGGGGTTGAAAGCAAACAGCTGATCCAAGAGGCGCGCTGTTATCGCATGTCTGCTTTTCAAACTAAGTGGCGATGGTAAACAGGAAGTGTTCAAAGACTCTGTTGTCAGATAAATCTTGCGAATTACGCAGTGATCTGCGATTTGCTCCTTCAGCTCTACGGAAAAAAGAGGAAGGAGAAGTGTAGGAAAGAATGAGCAGACTTTTCACTTGTTTCTTGCTGAGGTTGGAAAGGGTTTGTAACCTTGGAGATGTCGACCTCTCGTTTACTTGTATGCTTTTAGCGCCTTTCGTTTCACGGGGCCTACTGTGCAGCGCTGATGTTAGTTATCGTACTATCAGTCAAGGATATAAAATTTTTACAAGACAATGTCTACACAGTGATGATCGCTGGATGGTTTCCTCTTTTCTTTCCCCATGGTGTTAATCACTTATAGTAAGGATGAATGGCGATTCGAATTCATGATCGTTTGCTTGTCAGCCCGCGCTGTATCAATTGAGCTATGCTGGCAGAGGTAATGATTCGGGCGAAAGACTTAACATTGGATCTTCTGAAGGATATTTAAGTACTTCGTCAAGCTACCTCGTCCCACCAGTGGAACCATTTGTTAAAATCTATGGAAAGTAGCTTACTTTGTATTACATATTCGTATTCACGAGTTCTCGAAAACTTTGTCGTCACTCCCAAGAGATTCTAATTACCCTTTACATGAGAAATTTCAATAACCTGTTCCGTACATCCTGGGTCCGAACTACTGCAATCGCAACTAGAACTGAATTCTATCACTGTTCGACTCAAACCTTCCTTTTTGAAATGATGCGAGATGTAAACTGCTGATCAGTTACGGATTAAATCTTTGTTATCTAAATTAACCCTCGTAACATCTTTTTTGATATCCAATTGAAGCGGCGTAATGTCGCACCGTCTCGTTGCTTATAGTCGCCTAGGGGGCCATTTAAGCAAGCCACGGCTCCATGATATTTGAGCATCTGTAGTGTATGGTTGCAAAGCCGCATCACTAAATTAGTCTCGCTACAGTCGAAAGAGAACGAATTGCGGTAGCAGTTGCGTCACTTAAATTTTTGCCTTTCGATGTAGATGATCAGGTACGAATTCGTGCAGTGAAAAGAGACTCCATGCTGTATGGGTATATCATTATAATAACCTTCATAAGTATGTTGCTAATAACTGGTCGTATAAAAATGAAGATCAAATCTGCACTATAAGCGCAATGACATGGATGTCAGAAATGGCATTCATTATCGAGGTGTAAATTAGACCGACATTTTAACATGGTTGTAAATTTTTCCTCGTCTGAATTCGTCCTCCTCTTTTTCATCTTCCCCTTCTCTTATCTTCTTTTGTTGAGCGAACGACTGTCTAAAAATTCCAGTACGTTTAGCCGCAAGCTGTTCCCGCTTTACGTGGCCAAGAAATCGACAGCGGTATTAGAACCGTTTCGCCATCGGCGTACGTCCTTTTGCGATAGCAGCGTTGAACCGTTTCATAATCGATTCGCTTTATTGAGCAAGACGTTTAGAGGTCTGCCTGTTGACCGTTGTCTGGTAGACGATGGTGGACTCCGCTCTAGATTTTTAATGTCGCCGCTGCGAGGGCACCGTGAGCAGCGACTTCTGTTATCAGCCTCACCATGTGACCTCGTAGGTAGTCGATTATGTCCTTGATGGGGTTTAGTCCGTTGAATTTGGTGACCGTTTTGTTTTGGACGAGATCAAGACGTC